CTGCAGTACTGTGCTTGAATGAAGCACACATGTTACCTCCGCATGCAATATTGGAAACTAAAGGAGAAAATCATACACAACCTTGATGTTATACTACATTAACACATAGCAGAAAAACCCATATGATCAATATGAAAATCAAGATACTCAAGATTGAAGAAATTCTTCATAAAAGAGAACTACAATGATCATACACAGTTACAATAGGCTAGTAACCTTTGCAAGGCTAGATAAGTGGCATAAATTATGTCAATAAAAAAGTGATAGACTTCTCATCATGTACGTACCAACACTCAATTTATCATTCAATGATATTTGGAGTAGTTTTATACTTATATAGCTTGACTTAACATTCACAAATGATCACATTGGTATCCATAGGCTCCATGAAAATGTTAACAAATACAACTATTATGAGATTGACTATTTGGTTATTAGCCTTTGCAACATACTATTATACTACAATAAAGAAACTATTCAATACTTCTTATATAGCATCATACTATTATACTACAATAAATAAACTATTCAATACTTCTTATATAGCATTTTAGATAAGAAAGAGAGGGGAGGGAGGGAGGGAGTTAATGAAATAGTCTTATAAAGCATTTTAGTTAAGAAAAACTTTTTCTCCACATGATTTATACTACATAGCATTTGAGGCTCCGCATTAGTTGCGTAAATGTCATTTTGATATAGATATAAATCATATCTAGCATACAAATAGAGAGATGTCCAAGATAACCATCCTTTGAGAACTACATCTGAGTAGGAGAAAGTAACGAAGAGATGAGTTGATGTGCTTGCACTCTTTTGTTCATAAACAAGTTAAGCCAACTTAAAGTTTTAAGTGGAGCCCTAGGAGCATCATGTTATTTTTTTAGCATGAATAAACCCAAGCAATACGATTTGGCGGAATGAGAATAATACATCCATGTACATGCACTTCATAAAGATGCATGCCCTAAACCACCAAAGTGGAACTGAAGTTCAAAAAAAACTTTAGAAAAGGAGATGTTTTTGTTTTGAAAACTAAAGGAATGAAGCATTGTGTTCTTTAGTCTTCACAAAGTCATCCATAAAAAAAGAAAAAATTATGATCTAAAGGCAATAGCTGAACCACAGCACATTTGCTTAAACTTATACGAATCAACGCACAAATGCACAATAGTCGAACTAAATTTCATAATAAAACTCTTATATTCGATCTCATCCATAAAAAAATACCGATATAAATGCAATATGCGAGATTTCGCTGCTAAAACCCTAGAAAGCTAGTTTTCACTAAAAAAATCTAGATAAATCTAAAAGATATTTAAGAAAATTTAAGATAAGAGGCGAACTTGAAGATAAATATGAAATATTAGAGAAAAGATACTCAGAGATAACGCCTAGGTAGCCAAACAAGCAACCAACGAACCACACAAGAATATCGAGCAACCAAACAAGAATACCGAGCAATCGAGCCA